CAGCACCTGTCGGACGCCTATCTGTGAAAGTCCCTTTTGAAGCCACGCTGTCCCGTTTCCATAGCGACATTCAACGTCCGCACTCTAAGACAAACAGGTCAGCAGGCTGCACTCGCACACACCTTGGGCACACTGGGTGTTGATGTGTGTTGTGTGTCCGAAACTAGGATTAATGACCCTAACGAGGTTATTGAATTGACTGCACCCGGCTTATCCTCTCGTTATTGGTTGCACGCATCCGGAGACGCCGATGCGGCACTCACTGGTCAAGCTGGTGTAGGTATCATTCTCAGCTGCACGGCTGAGTCATCGTTGGTTGGTTGGATTCCGGTGAACAGCCGTTTATGTGCAGCCCGTTTGACGACATCAGCTAAGGTGAATTCGCGAAGTAGTACAAAACGCTGTTTGTTTGTGATTTCCGTTTATGCTCCCACCGACTGCAGTTCTAATGCAGTCAAGGACACTTTCTATCACGAACTGAATGCGTTATTACGCAGTGCTACTAGTTCAGATATTATAGTACTTGCAGGGGATATGAACGCACAAGTAGGGCGTCTGAGCTCTTCAGAAGCTCAGCTAGGTGGTAAGTATGAACTTAACTCCGAACTGACTGACAACGGTGAGCGTCTGCTGCAAGTATGTGGGGAGCACAAGTTGTTTCTTACTAGCACTGCTTTTAGACACAGTGGGCGCCGAAGTGCCACTTGGCGTCCACCTGTAGCTGGCCAGCGATGGACCCAATTTGACCACATAGCCATAAGTTACAGGTGGCGCGTTTCCATTCTGGATTGCCGCTCGTACTGGAGTACCTGTGTCGACTCTGATCATGCTTTGGTGCGCTGTCGTTTCTCCATGAACTTTACCGGCAGGCGCACAAAGCGTCTCCAATTTGAAACGGAGAAATTGTCCCAGCCCTCGGTCAAGCAAGCCTATCAAGATGCACTGCATACCGAAGTTTCGCTGTCTTGTCCTAATGACACTGAACTTCAGTGGAATAGGATCTCGGCTGCCATGCACGACGCAGGAGCATCTGCTTGCGGCACTATCAGTCGTCACCGCACCAGTCACTGGATATCCGAGAGGTCAGTGAACCTGTTGGAATCTAGAAGACACCTCCCGGCTTGTTCAGAGCACAGTGTGACCAGACGGGCTATTAGGCGTGAACCAAAGCGGAGCCTACGTGCTGACAAGGAAGCCTGGTGTACCAGTCGGGCTCAAGAAATGGAGGAGGCAGGAGCAGTAGGCAATTACCGGAAGCTCTTCCAGCTAATCCGCACCACTGGTCCCAGAAAACCAGGCGCCAGTGAGACAACCAGAGACAGTGCGGGTGCGCTGATACACAATAAGGAGCGCCGTATGGCTCGTTGGGCTGAACACTTTGAACATCATTTCAGCTGGCACCCTGCTCCCTGACCTCTTCCTACTCAGGTGATACAGAACGAGCCATGGACGGTTAGTTTAGAGCCTCCGTCGGAGGTCGAGGTCAGATACGCGATCACAGCCCTCAATCGTTTGCGTGCCGCTGGCCTGGATTCCCTCCCACCTGCACTGTTTAACGATGAAAGTGAGGTCCTCTGTAGGGCACTGACCTCCCTATTCGAACGTATCTGGAAGGAAGGGTGTCTCGGCTAATTTGAGCGAATCGATTATAGTGGCAATATACAAAAAGGGCAGTCGCACAGACTGTGCGAACCACAGGGGTATTAGCCTAACGCCAGTTGTGACAAACTTACTGGCCTCGATTCTCGTTCGTCTCCTCACTGCAGAACGGGAATCTCGGATTAGGGAAGAGCAGGCCGGTTTTCGCCCAGGATGTGATTGTATAGACCATATATTCAGTTTGATGCAGGCGCTAGAGCAGCCCCACGCATACCGCAGACCGACAATCGCTGTGTTCCTCGATTTCAAGAGTGCGTTCGAATCGGTCGATCGATCGATTCTGTTCGAAATACTTGCGCGGAAAGGTGTTCCCACGGAATAGGTGAACATCCTTCGTGCTCTATATTCGAACACTACAGGCCGCGTCAGGGTCTATGGTGTCCTATCGGATAGCTTTTCGACTACAAGTGGCGTTCATCAGTGTTATCCGATTTCCCCCTTTTGTTCAATTTCGTTGTGGATTCTATCATGGAGTGTTCCCTGAGGGAATCCAATGATGTAGGCGTTGAAGTGTTGCCTAGTGAAAGTTTAGTTGACCTAGATTATGCGGACGATATCGTCTTGCTTTTCGACAATGTTGAGGCGGTACAATCAACCCTGAATAGCTTGTCAAGAGTGGTCCCATTATTCGGTATGCACTTCGCACCTTCAAAGTGCAAAGTGTTGCTGCAGGACCACCAGCCACTTGATGACACCTTGACGCTTGCTAACGAGGAACTCGAGGTGGTTGATCAATTCACTTGGCAGCTGCATCAGCAATGATGGGCGCATAGAAACTGACGTGAGCTTACGCATTGCAAAGGCCAGAGCTGCCTTCTTGAACCTGCGTCATCTTTGGCGACAGAAGGGAGTTTCCCTCCGTCTGAAAAGCCCTATATGCAGGGCCACAGTGAGGGCCGTTCTGCTCTACGGCAGTGAGATTTGGCCCTTTCGGTCTGGAGATCTGAGGCGCCTTCAAGTCTTTGATCATCGTTGTTTGCGAAGCATTGCTGGTGTCGGATGGCACCAGCGTGTTCCCAACGATGGTGTGCGTAGGCGAGTACTAGGTGGTGGTAATCATGCTAACACCCTAGAACAACAGCTAGCACTGAATAAGTTGCGTTGGCTTGGACACGTGCTGCGTATGCCTGGTCACCGCTTACCTAGGAGAGCCTTGTTCAGTCTGTCAGGTGTAGAGTGGCGCAAGGCTCGAGGTGGACAGAAGTTGACTTGGCTGCGGGAAATGAAGTCATTGACGACCAAACTGGTGCGGTTGGTCCGTCTCGCCTTCCGGGTTTGAGTCCACGTGACTCGCCTTGTGCTTGGCTCGAGACTTTACAGGACATGGCTCGCAGTAGACACCAGTGGCGCGTCTGCTGCCGTCTCCTACTCCGATATTTTGTTTAAAGTGTGTTTGGTGCTGAGTTATCTACGGGGTAATGGCTGATTATGACGCGTGGCAGTGAAAGCTGCAAGGAAGCTGTCTCGCCGATACCGCCTTATCTTTGCACGATGGCCAGCTGCTTGTGACTGTATGTTGTTGACACAAGGTGTAGGCGCCTTGACCCTGAATATTTGCTTAGGGCATTAATGTTTTCAGGTAAGTCCCCCTTCTCTTCCTCTTCTTATTCTTTATTTCATAGGTGCTCATGGTTGTATGGTAGCGAATCATCACTTCAAGTGGCTGATGTACTGCTGTTGTTGATGATGATGTTGATGTTAACGCCTGTTCTATTCAGCATCATCATCATCAACAGCAGTACATCAGCCATTTGAACTGATGCTTCGCTGTTCTATTATTTTACTGTAAAATGTTATTGTCAGTGGAAGGTGATATATCCACTTTACCCCAGACTATAACGATTTTTCCCCGGACGTGTGGTAAAATACGTATAGTATAATTGAAAATGGGTATAGCGTTTAACTCAATATTTTGATGACAAAATTTCATTGACCTGGTTATGGGCGGTTATAAGCTTAATGTAAAACCTTTGGCTCAAAACTTTAAAATATATTGACAGTTCGCATGAAACAGCTGCCTAATTTATACTCGTTTTCTTCCGGGTGATCCTAGGTGTCTCGAGAGACTTGAACTGACTAACATGTTAAGCTGCTGGAACGGTTCTTTCCAGCATCCCCTGAAGCTTCTATTTCGTCGAGTCGTTTAGTTAGCGTAGCAATGGTTGACGCCAGTTTCGTTATCTTGTATTTCGGCGTTGTTTAGGTATGCGTGATTCGACCGTTGGATTCCCAAATACGGCCAGCATTGTGGGCTACTTGAGGCATAGACGTATCTGCGCTAGCGTCTAGGATGTTACACATTTCGTTTGGTAGGCGGTGAAGCCACATGTCTTTGAGAAACAAGTCATCTACCATTACTGGTTTGGCTAAACTCTGCATCTTGCACAGGAACTGAGGTGGTTTCAGATCGCTCAGCTCGGCTTCGTTGAACGATTTCGTGCTGCGAGCGCTGTCTGACATGCCAATTCGTTTTAAACTAGCAGCTTTCAGCTTCTCGCGAGTTTTCTGCTTCGGGAAGTTCTACAATATCATCGACTGCATCGGCGAATTGCGGAGAAAGTGTTTGCTCTGACGCGGTCAAATTTAACATTCTCAGGTCTAACACCACGCAACTAAAGGATGAACTCCAACCGAGTAAACCAACTTTCCGCGTTGTCTTCGCGAAAAGACGGAATTGGTACGGCAATATTAATAACAGGAGCGTCGGTATGTAAAAAATTAACACCCATGGCGAAAAATTTACATAGTTAGCAAAAATAAATAAACCTTTCGCTAAATAGATGGGGAGGTAGAGAATGTGAACGGGATATATGACTAAATCTGAAAATTGGTTAGTAACGAACTTACCGCACATTTTATATTCTCAGTCACCAATTATGGCGCAATCGATGAACGGGCGCTATGTTCGCACAATCAGTCAACCACATGGACAAAATAAAACCATGAAATAGGTAAGATATACACGTTTATTGCCGAGACGTACAAGCTAACGAGCACCCAAAGAACGGCTAGCTAGGGAAAAAGAGGAATGTTCTGAGAGTAAAAGGAGGCAACGTCCGAGTCGCGTTCCGAATGTGCATATAAATAAAAGTAGTTAATATACGGAAACTGCCTAATTTTCCTGTGTACAAATGAAACTATAATTTGGTGCTGTTTCACACATCATACGGGGAAATCTCCAAATTGCTACACCATGGTTTCAGACGAGTGTTTCATAAATGTTGTTGTTTTTAATTTACTATATAATCATTGTATGCACTTTCTCGATCTCTGGTCTCCACCTTCTGGTTGGTTCATGCGAACGATTGACGTTCATTATTTGTTCCCCTCTCCTTAAACAGTTTCTTGAACCAGTCGTGCCAACTGGGAAGTTCGGTCTGCCTATTAGCCCATGTACTGGATCCGTGTCGACTTCCTTTATGCGAATTTCATGAAAACGGTGGTTGTAATCGCAATCATTGTGTATACCTGCACAAGTCGTATCCCGAAAACACGCCACTTTGTCCTGATTTTTTGCGGGGACGCTGTCCACGTGGGCGTGCGGTAAGCATGTAACCTGTTCTACAGAGATCTACATTGCATTATGCTCCACTTTGTACATTTATGCCCCTCATTCAACACATGTGCCTTCTGAATTTGGTCCCTGTGTATTTCTAAATTCCGGAGAATTACGAACCGTGTGCAACTTTTATATATTCCGTTTGCACGCTCAATTGAATGGTGCACTACATTGGATATCTCGCCAGTGTACACTACGTGAGAACTCCTGCGAATGAAAAATGCTTTATAGTGTTTTACTGAGCTCATAGTACTGACTGCACCTCTCAGCAGGTTGGCGTGTATCCGGCCATGACGTTTCTTTTCCTTGGCCCTATGTGAATATGTTTATCATTAGATCTATACTTTTGCGTGTTTTGGTGGAAAAGAGGGGGTGATAAGAGGTGGATCTGCTGCACCTTGGTACTTGGACTCTGTGAATTTATTCGAAGAGACGTACCTACTACTTGCAAAGCGCTACTGAGGTATGATGGAAGCGGTTAAGGAGTTATCGGTCCACTTTCCTCTCTGTCGTTTCATTGCGAACGGATACACGGGTGAGAGGAGAATAGGTAACTTTCAGACCGGAATAGTGCATGGTTTTTCCATTTTCACATGACAGTTTTTGGGGCATCACACGACGCAGGCTGATTACCTCTGTATTTTTGGATTCCCAGAGCGCGCTCAATTCAGTCGACTGTTGCGTTCCGTTCGATATACCTGTAGGGGCAATTGTTTCCACGTGGTACGTGTTCATCTTGCATAACTTGTACTGTCACACGTTACGTTACGCCAGGATCTACGTTAAACTATCTGGTCCTTCTCCGACAAAAAATGACGATCGCCATCGTCGTCGCATTTCCACGTTTCCATTCATATTTAGTCAAGACGCAATCATGCAATATACTTTTTCGAGTCTTATGGTGCAACGGTTTAGGCGCTCTTCAATGAAGGCTATTTGGTATCGCCCTACTCTTTGACAATCACAGTGTATCATGATCAGCCTTGGACTAGTTCTCCCCTATGGCCCCAACACCAGATACGCGTTTCTCACCTACATACCCCAGCGTGCTGATGCGGGACCACCGGCCACCTATTGATTTTCGGCCGTTTCGTACGTGAACCAGGACCGTTATTACACCAGCCAGGCTCCCGTGCCGGGTCACATGTTGCGCAAGCCAGCATACCGTCTCCCATGACGTGCGTTCCTTGCGTGACCGGGGATGTAAGTAAAAGAAAGGGAGGGGACACCGGGCGATGACTTCGTCAAAACGAATGAAGGCCGATAGTTCGACGTTGGTCTCGATTGGTGCGTTTCGGCTGCCTGGTTGGGGCTCGAGAGACGGCGAGCACGTCTAGCTGAATATACTTGTTGATATGGCTAGAAGTCGATCTCAATGACGTTTGTGTTGTGTTTCTGTGTACCTCTCCCTCACGCAATGTCTCTCCAAATATGATTTCCGGCTGTTAGCTCTCCGGAACGATGTCCATCCATTACCGGTGACTCAGCTGGCGTACCTCCGTTGCGTATTTTTCCCTCTCAAGTCTTGCTACACAATGGCTGAGATGTTTCCCACCTCTAGCTAACGTGTACTGGGTGTTTTCTTAGTTACGTCCGAAACTAGGAGCGGCCGCGCTCACGTGCTGACGTACCCCGGCACGCTGAATTGCCAACTGTCCAATGTCGCAAACTGCTTTGCTGAACGTGTTGTCAGGGGTGAGATGTGTCACAAAGGCGGGACCTGTGTGTCTATGGTCGCAGGGTAGACCAAGGGAACCGAGGCCGTTCAGCTGGGAGAATTAAGTGTTAATCAAACACCGAAGTCGCACTGAACGTGTCATACTTCGATCGCAGGGCATGCCAAGGGGACCGAGGCTTTTTGGATGTAAGAAGTGAGTGTTAACCAAAAACCGAAGCCGCACTGGACTTGTCATACCTCGATCGATTGATATTCGGCTTTCACTCAAGTAAAGAAGCCAGCAAAAGGGATCCCTGCGAAATGGATGGTGGCTTGCTGTTCTTACAATTGTGAAAAACAGCCTGGCCCTATGCAATGCCCAATGGGAACCGATCGCTATCGCAATACATGGCAAAAGCCAATCGCGACAAAAACTGTTATGGGCTCATGACTGGCTTCTAGCAAATCCGGAAGCTTTCATTAGGCTGCTTTCGCATCTGAGGGGAATCATACTGCCAGGAGCATTTTCTAAAATTACCGTTTTGTTCGTCTTACTGTTTCGATCGCGTGTGTGTACCGTTGAAAATAGCCTTCAATAAGTGCATAAAAGCGAATACTTGACTTGACAATGCTCTTAGATTTCAGCCTGCCCCGACGCACTAGTGACACCATTAGACAGCACACCAATTTAGTCATGAATGCAACTATTGCCCTCACACTTAGACAATTGTTTGTTGTGCAAATTGACCATGCTTTCGATGATATTACTCGTGTGCAATCGCGAGTATACATGTATCCATTTCTTTACTTGTATTTACATGAAATGTATGAAATGTCTAAATATCAACGGATTAGGTGTTCTGATTACCCTCCGTCGTTTTGGCTGCAGAGCAACCTTCGCCGGATGGTTTTGGCGAACAATTTCCGCAATGTCTCCAACGAAATCCGGCTACATTCGTTCACAATGTTTTCTTTCAATTTATCTAGGCTGTTCGGTTTTGTTCTATAAACTCTACGCTTCAAGTGTCCCCATAGGGAAAAATCCATGGGATTCAGATCCGGTGACCGCGCAAGCCACTCTATGGATCCTCCGCGACCGATTCAATGTCCACCGAAAGTCTCGTTCAGGTAGACACGAACTGATTGCGCCGAATGTGCAGGTTCGCCATCCTGCTGCCACCAAACGTTATTCAGTAACCTTTCCGGCTTTAGCTACGAGATGACGCTGGTCTGCAATATTTCCAAGTACGATGATGCTAAGAAACTTCAGATCTTATTACTGTTTAACAACAACCTACCGGACACACTCCTGGAAAATAAAAAAGCCCCATGATTTTTCGACCAGTCAACCCAGCCCAGGCCATGAGCTTCGCGCTGTGTTGCACACGTGGAGCGCTACGTTGTCGTGGGTTATTTGTTGCCCAAATATGTTGCGTATCTTCGACATGCAGATGGGCAACCGCCTCATCGGTCAACACAATGGAATGTACGTTCAGGCTGTTTAAAAGCCAGCGGGCGAATTCCAGGCGTTTCTTTGAATCGCATGTGTTCAACACTTACACGTTCAGTGTACTGTACCGTCGAAATCTTTTTTCCTTCGATATCCGATGCACCACATACGGTGTGGTTTCGCAATGTTGTGCGAGTTGCCGAATGCTTAGGTGACTCTTAATGCATACCTCTTGCACAACCGCGCAAGCTAGTACTTCATCCGTGATGATGCGAGGCCGTCCGGTTTGTTTGATGTTACAAACGCTTCCAGTTTCTTCAAATTTCTTCACCATCCGGTGCACATACTGCTCCTTAATGGGCCGCGCAACGCAGTGCATAGTGTTATAGCGCCTTGCGGTTTCTGCCTCTTGGGACGCACACTCATCATACAGCTGCACAGTGGCCACACGCAGATGGACCGGCACATTATCTGACTGTGGTTGTGGACACATCGATGACACGGGTGTAAGCTCCTGATACATTGCTAAAACAGCGAGCCAATAACCATCTCGCAGGGCTCCCTTTTGCCGACTTCTTCACCTGCGTGAAAGCCGGCTACCAATCGATCGAAGTATGACACGTCCAGTGCGGCTTCGGTTTTTGGTTAACACTACTTCTGGCAGCCAAAAGGCCTCGGTTCCCATGGTATGCCCTGCGATCAAAGCATGACACGTCCAGTGCGACTTCGGTGTTTGGTTAACACTTAATTCTCACAGCTGAACGGCCTCGGTTCCGTTGGTCTACCCTGCGATCGTAGACACAGGTCCCGCCTTTGTGTCACATCTCACCCCTGACGTCACGTTCGGGAAAACAATTTGCGCCATTAGACCGTTGGCAATTCAGCGTGCCGGAGTACCTCAGCACGTGAGCGCAGCCGCTCCCAATTTCGGACGTAACTAATTAAACACTGTGTAATTGTGATGATTTAAAACGTGGAGCTACAGACAGCTTGTTCACCCATCGTGCTACCTACATGGGAGGTGATAGACCCGTGCCACTTGAAGCTCAACTCAACATTGGGAGAATCGCAGTCCTTTAGGCACATAACAATAATAAAGATATCCTCCATGTTTTATGTGTCATGTAGACATGGCTACAGTGAGGGCGGAGCTGCTCTACAGTGGTGAACATGTCCCTCTAAATCGGAAGATCTCAGGCACAATCTGCAATGCAACCATCCTTGTTTACCCAGCATTGCTAGTGTTAGGTGTCCGTAATGATATAGTACGAAATTAACGCTAGATGCTGTTGACTTGGTTAGTTTGCTTTATCAGCAAATCAGGCGGAACCCGCTACGTTGGTCTGGGCATGCGGTACATATGCTCAACCACGTACTAATGAGGAGTTCGCTTTTGTCAAGCCAACTAATACGATGTAGACTTCGAGTAAACCATACTTTAACCTGGTAGCTAGGGATGTGGTCGCTAACTACCGGAGGGGGTGCTATTGGTTATTGTCACCTGGCTGAAGTAAATGCGGCCCACCCTTTGCTCCGCTTGATGACGTTACTGCCAATTAACACTATTGGCGAGTACATTTTGGTCCACGTACTTGATACTCAAATGTTTGTGAGTAAACCGTACGCCTAGGATCGATAGAGAGTAGATGGACGTTGAAGAAAATCTCTACGATAAACATACAACGAACTCGAACTATATAGCCGTTTGTATTGCAGAAACGGAACTGCAATCACATCCACTAGGTGTTACAGCGACTTGCGAAGGATGCGAGCAACAAACTATCACAACCTTTAGAGTAGGCACTCTTAGTATAGCGCGCAATCTAACTACGACCGCATTATCAATTGATCACCTGAAGCTAAGAGAGAGAGAGAGT